AAACAAACAATTTAAAAGAGAATGAAGAACTTGGGGCACCTGGGTGGCTCAGTTAAGCCTCTGACTTGGTTTCGGCTCTCATGAGTTATGACATCAAGCCCCACGTGGGGTTTTGTGTTCAGTGTAGAGTCTGCTTGAGATTCTCTGCCCCATCGCCTCCTCCCCCTCAAAACAATATATAAAAATCTTTGTAAAAATAAAAAAAAATAAGGGTGCTGGGATGGCTCAGTCAGTTAAGTATATGCCTTCAACTCGAGTCATAATTCTGCTGGGACCAAGCCCCACATCAGGCTCTCTGCTCAGTGGGGAGCCTGCTTCCCCTCTCCCTCTTCCTGCCATTCTGCCTGCTTGTTCTCTCTCTATCTGTCAAATAAAAAATATTTTTTAAAAAAATTTTAAATAATTAAAAATAATAAAAATATAAGTGGACAAAGAACTTGAATAGATACCAAAGAAAATATACAAATGAATAGATACCCAAAGAAAATATACAAATGCCAGTAATCACATAAAAAGATGCTCGACATCACTCATCTTTAGAGAAATGCAAATCAAAACCAGAATGAGATACCCTCTCACATTAATTAGGATGGCTATTACAGGAAGGAAGGAAGGAAGGAAGGAAGGAAGGAAGGAAGGAAGGAAGGAAGGAAGGGCAAGTGTTGACAATAATGTAGAGAAATCAAAGCCCTTGTGCACAGTTGGTGGGAATGTAAAATGGCACTGCTATAGAAAACAGTATGGTTTTTCCTCAAAAAATGAAAAATAGAATTAAAATTTGATCCAGCAATTTGACTTACGTGCATATACCCAACAAGAAATGGAAGGACTTGAAGATCTATTTTTAGACCCAAGATTATAACAGCATTGTTTATAACAGCCAAGCAGTGAAAGCAGCCCAAATATCCATCAACAGATGAGTCGATAGACAAAAAGTGGTATATTCATACAATGGAATATCATTCATTCTTGAAAAGAAGGAAATTCTGACTCATGGATGAACCTGTGGCCATTACATTAAGTGAAATAAGCCAATCCCAAAAGGACAATATTATATGATCCCACTTCTAGAAGATACCTAAAATAGTCCAATTTGTAGAGATAGAAATACGATCGTGGTTGCCAGGGGCTAGGAGAGGGGAACGAGAGTTGTTCCTTAATGAGTAGAATTTCAGCTCTGAAAGATAAAAGGAGTTCTGGAGAAGGATGGTGATGATGGTTGTACAATATAAATGTACTTAAGGGCACTGAACTGCACAGTTAAAGATAGTCAAAATGGTCAATTTTGTTACATGTATTTTACCGTGATTAAAAAATTTTCTAAGATAGGGTCTGAGTGGCCAGTCAGTTAAGTGTGTGACTCCTGATTTTGGCTAGGGTTATGATTTCAGGGTCATGATATCAAGTCCAGCGTCAGATCCATGCTCAGTGAAAAGTCTGCTTGAGGATTCTCTCTCTCCCTCTGCCTCTGCCCCTCACCCCCATGTACTCTCTCACTCTCTTTCAATAAGTAAATAAATCTTTGAAAATTTTTTCTAAGATCATGAATAGAAAATGCTTTCACAGTGTGGAATACACAGAAAGTACTACAATGATAATAAATTGTATACCTGTTATTATTTCACTACATTTTCTTGAGTGGAAGCCCGAGATAGTTCCGTTATGTCAAGAGTTCCTTTCTAGGAAAACACATGTGGGGGAATAATATCATCAGAATTTTTAGAAATGCCCAAGTGATCATTTGGTCCCATTCCCTGGTAAGGAGAAGAAAGTTACAATGCCTTGACAACTCTTAGAGTTCCTATTTCTAAAACGAGGAGTTTAGACAATTAGCTTTGGCAAGTCCCTTCATCTCTCATAGTTCTGTGTTCTGAGTCAGTAGTGTGTGAAATGTGTTCAGGTGCTCCAGGGCAAAGGCATGCCAAGTGGTTTATGCTCTAGATGCTTCAGTACATTAATATGTGCACACACCTGTGCACACACACACATACATATAAACACACACCTTGCTTCAAGCAGAGATACTCTTACTTTTTTAAATACTGCAATTATGTTCAATATGTGTTTTTAAAAACACTCTCCTAATTTAAAAAAAAATTGAAAGCTGTATTTTTCAGGAAGCCAGCTCCATGTCCTAAAGACAGGCCCCAGCCCATGTGAAGCTGAGGTGTGGAACCAGGCATGGTACTAGAGGGCAAATAAAAATTCATTGATTGAGGAACGTCTGAGGGGCTTGGTGGTTGAGCGTCTGCCTTCGGCTCAGGGCCTGATCCTGGAGTTCCGGGATCAAATCCCATATCAGGTTCCCTGCATGGAGCCTGCTTCTCCTCCCTCTGCCTTTGTCTCTGCCTCTCTCTGTGTCTTTCGTGAATAAATGAATAAAATCTTTTTTAAAAATCATTGATTGGGGCAGCCCGGGTGGCTCAGCGGTTTAGCGCTGCCTGCAGCCCAGGGCGTGATCCTGGAGACCCTGGATCGAGTCCTGCGTCGGGCTCCCTGCATGGAGCCTGCTTCTCCCTCTGTCTGTGTCTCTGCCTCTCTCTCTCAATATCTCTCTCTCTCAATATCTCTCTCTCTCTCTCTCTCTCTCTCTCTGTCTCTGTCTCTATGAATAAATACATAAATAATCTTTAAAAAGAAATCATTGATTGATATAGGGCAAAATAAGAACTGGGCTAGTAGGAGGTACCAAGTTCCTCCTCAGTTATTAACTTCATTTTGGTCTCAAAGTCTTGTATTTTTCTTGAAAAGAGAACAGAAACTCACAGGTATTACTCTATGCAGAGCAGAGCCCACAATATGTCAATCACTGCAGAAGCCACACTTCCCTAATCTGACTATGGTCAAAGAATCCTATTTTACAAGGAATGGGACAGAGGTTAGCTTATATAGGATTTTTATCAAACATAGTTGGAACTTAAAACAAAAGTTTTGTGACTTGAAGGAGGTTAATTTCATTCATTTATAAAATTCACTTACCTGGCTTCCTCAGCCTACTATTCATCTGGATGAATTCTTGCCATTGCTACAAACTTGGCTCATTTGCTATCACTTAAGGAAGCCACCCAAACTGGGTAAGGTGCTTCTCCTCTCACCCCCAAATATTCTGTCATATATTTATACCATATACTTACCATGTTTTACTATCATTGTCATTGTCTGTTTGTTCATCTTCTCCTTAGCTAGATATGTGCTCCGCAAGCCAAAAATCTATGTTCTATATACCTGTATCCTCAATTTAGAGTATTTAATATACATTTTTAACTGAACTAAAATAATTTTATTTCAAGATTCACAGATAATTGACTTTCTTCTAACCAACTTTCCTCAATTCATCAGTGGGTTTTCTACCATGAATCATCTTTAATTACAGGATGATTAAATGTTAACTCCTGTTAATAAGATTATTTAGTGACACAGAAAAATACAAATGGAAATTAAGTTAAAAGTCTAAATACAAAGGCTGTGCAAACTTTAATCAACAATTTTTGAAAGCAGTTACATATTATATATGAATGTATGAATTACATGCATACACACACACACACTCTATATATATATATATATACACATATATATATATGCACTTCTATATGAAAATGCATCAAGATAGTTACCTGTTTTGGCGCACTTAGGTGGCTCAGTGATTGAGCATCTGCCTTTGGCTCAGGACATGATCTTAGGGTCCTGGAATCGAGTCTCCCATCGGGCTCCCCATAGGGAGCCTGCTTCTCGCTCTGCCTCTGTCTCTGCCTCTCTCTCTGCATCTCTCATGAATAAATAAAATATCTTTAAAAAGAAAAGATAGTTAAGAGTGCTCATATTTTGTAGGGATGTCTACAGATTTTTACAAAATATATTTCTAAGACTTCCAGTTTTCAGTCTGAAATATAAGGAGCTGGGAAATCCTCACTCTGTCTTAACAAGTGAAAAAGCTAAGCACACTTAAATCCATATGAAAAGTGAGGTCACAGGGCAAACTGCTGCTCTCAAAACTGGAGGGACAGTCAGGCAAATATAGAGACTCACAATTTACAGGAAGAGAAATCCCCATGTAGAAACCTCTGCAGAAACCAGCACCCAGGCAAGAGACCCCATACTATAATTGATAATTTGCTGGAAGTTTAACATGGAAAAGTCTATGGGATTAAAAATTCCAGAGGGACCCAGTCACGGGGGGGGGTGGTGCGGGGGGGTGCGGGGGGGGAGTCCCCATACTTTTGTGAGTTTTACCTCCAGGGGTTGGACGAGGTTCTCACAGTGAAGATGGGAAAAAAGTCCCCTCAGGCTTCTGGCAAAGGGAAGGAGAAACGTGGCCATTTTGAAATATGCCAGAACATTCTGTTCTTCACAAGACCTGCCCTCAAGAGAAACTGTTGACCCCACTAGGGTTTGTTAGAGCCTAACCGACATTGGGGAAGAGAAATATCCAACATCAGTCATCCTGTCCCACCTAAGCCAGGAGGAGGGAGACTGAGAGTCATCTGTGAAGTTCACAGCCCATGGGTGCTGACTTGCTAATAGGCTGATACCTAATCATAGGATTGCAGAACACTTTCCCTCCCCCTGTACCTTACCACCATATTATGAAAAATCTCTTTACTGCAGTTCCTTTACCCAGCACATCATGTCCAGCTTGAAACAAAAAATTATAAGGCAAACTAAAAGGCAAAAAACAGTTTGAAGGGACAGCAAACATCAAAATCACATTCTTATATGACAGAGATGTTGGAATTATCAGAAGGTGAATTTAAAACAACTATGATGACTATGCTAAGGGCTCCAAAGGAAAAAGTGGATAACATGGAAGAACAGGAGGATAATGTTAGCAGAGAGATGGAAATGCTAAGAAAGAATTTAAAAATGCTAGAAATCATAAATGCTGTCATAGAAACAAAGAATGGCTTTAACAGGTTCATTTGTAGACAGGACATGGCTGAGCAACTTTGAAGATGTGTCCATAGAAATTGAAAACTAGGGGGAGTTAGGCACTAGCAGAGATGGCAGCTGCCACAGCGAGTCTGAGAATTGGGGCCAAAGTTGCCCTGCGTGAGATTCGTGTCCACTTGTGCCAGTGCTCGCCCGGCAGTCAGGGCGTCAGGGAATTCATCAAGAAACACTATGCAGAGCTGAAGAAGGCGACTCCTGACCTGCCAATCCTAACCAGCGAGAGTTCTGATGTGCAGCCCAAACTCTGGGCCCGCTACGCATTTGCCCAAGAGAAGAATGTCTCTTTGAACAGCCTGAGTGCTGATCAGGTAACCAGAGCCGTGGAGAATGTGCTAAGTGGCAAAGCCTGAAGCCTCCAGTGATTGTTAAGAGCAACAGCCCAACAGCTTGGGCTTTGTTGGACTAAGTAAAATGTGAAAAAATGTGTTCTGTTCTTTATACAGCTTGTGCCGAAAAATGAAAAAAAGAAAAAAGAAAAAGAAATTGAAAACTAGGGCAGCCTGGGTCGCTCAGAAGTTTAGTGTTGCCTTCAGCCCAGCGCCTGATTCTGGAGACCTTAGATCGAGTCCCACGTCGGGCTCCCTGCATGGAGCCTGCTTCTCCCTCTGCCTGTGTCTCTGCCTCTCTCTGTGTGTCACTCATGAATAAATTAAAAAATAAAGAAAGAAAAAAAAAAGAAATTGAAAAACAAAAAAAGGAAACTGAAAAAAAGTGGAACAAAATATCCAAGAACTGGGACAACACAACCTGAAATTACTGTGACACTATGTGCCAACTATACTCCAATTAAAAAAAATTATCATGCAGTTAAGATGAGAATTCCCCCCATAGAATTCATAACTTACAAGTAATGGGGACATCAAGAGGAGAAGACAGGAAGAAATAGAAAAAACATTTGAAGCAAGAACAACTGAGACTATCCCCAAAATTAATGTCAGACACCAAACCACAGATCCAGAGAACAATGAGGATAAATTGAGAAAAACCTGTACCTAGATGTATCACATTCAAACTGCATAAAAACAAAGATAAAGAAAAAAATCTTGAAAGAAGTTGGAGAGGAAAAAAAAAACCCTCACTTGTTGGGGTTCAAAGGTAACAACTGCATCCAATTTCTCTTTGGGAACCATGAGAGCAACAGGTGAACTGTTTGAAGTGTTGAGAGAAAAAAAAAAAACTCACCAACCTGGAATTCTGCATTCTGACACACTATCCTTCAGAAGTGAAGAATAAATACTTTCTCAGACAAAAATTGAGGGAAATTGTCACCAGTAGACTTGTCTTACAAGATACAGATTAAGAGAAGCTTTTCAGGGGTACCTGGGTGGCTCAGTCTGTTAAGCATCTTCTTCAGCTCACATCATGATCCCAGGGTCCTGGGATGGAGCCTGGCATCAAATACCTTGCTCAGTGGGGACTCTGCTCCTCCCTCTCCCTCTGCCCCTATTCTCTGCTAGTTCTTTCTCACTCTCAAATAAATAAATAAATCTTTAAATTTAGAAGGAAGAGGAGGAGAAGAAGAAGAAGAAGAAGAAGAAGAAGAAGAAGAAGAAGAAGAAGAAGAAGAAGAAGAAAAGAAGAAGAAGAAGAAGAAGAAGAAGAAGGAAGAAGAAGAAGAAGAAGAAGAAGAAGAAGAAGAAGAAGAAGAAGGAGAAGAAGAAAAGAAGAAGAAGAAGAAGAAGAAGAAGAAGAAGAAGAAGAAGAAGAAGAAGAAGGAGAAGGAGAAGGAGAAGGAGAAGAAGAAGAAGAAGTTGCTTTTCAGAGAGAAAGAGTTGAATGGAAACCTCGGAGAGACCTAAGAGAGAAACAGCCACTCTAGGTTGGAAGGTGGCAGGTTTAACGAACAAGGGAGCTTACCTATGAGGTTCATCTTAGCAGGTGGCAGGACCAGTGGATCTCTGCACCCTGCCCAGGGTGTGATCAAATCTCTGGTTCTGCATTCAGTAGAACACCATCCAGTTTATTTCAACAGCACCTTACTCTCTCAAAACTACATACTTGAAAATGGTTCCCATGGTGGAAGGGTGGGCAGAGCAGACATTCCAAGAACAGGGAGGGATTCCAAGGACAGAGAGGTGAGGAGCCTTCAATTGCCCTGGGGCGGCTCGAGAATCAATCAGCAGTCAGGTCCTCTCGGTGACTTCCTCTGACAGAAGGGAATGCATATAGGTCAGAAACTAAGACCTACATAAAGAAAGACCAGCAGAGAAGGTGTACATGAAGTAACTTTTTTTTTCTTACTCTTAACTGATCTGACAGATTTTTAAGAGTGTGTTAAAAATAACAAATGGCAATGATGTGTTTGTTCCATTATGTATGCTTATTATTATATATAAACACACAAGTATATGCAATTCCATAAAGAAGCATAAGTGTGTGTGTGTATATACACATGTATCTCTGTATGCCTCTGTATAAGTGAGATGAACTACAGCAATGATACAAGGTATAAGTAAGGGACAGGAGGAAGGAATTTAGAATGCCTTGTTATTATAAGCTATTTGCATGACTCACAAGCAATATAGCATTATTTGAAAGTGGTCTTGGATTTGTGGTAAGTGTATTTACAAACTATCTAGGGCAACCACTTAAAAAAGTGAAAAAAAAAAGTCTAATTAATATGCTAAGAAAGGAGAGAAAACAGAGTAATAGAAAATGCTCAGTTAAAACTGCAAATGATGGGAAAAGAATGTAAGACAAAAATAAGAACAAGGACCATAAATAGAAACTAGAAACAAATATGGTAGCTATTAATGCAACTCTATCAATGATCACCTTAAAAGTCAATGGTTAAGTACACCAATTAAAAGATAAAGATTGACAGAGTGGATCAAAAAGCAAGACTCATCTATATGTTGTTAACAAGAAAGAAACCTACTTTAAATATAAAGACACATGTAGGTTAAAAATAAAAGGATGAATAGGCAAAACACAGAAGATTTTTAGTGAAACTATTCTGTGTGATAGCATGTGGTAAATGCATGTCATTATGCACTTGTCCAAACCTGTAGGATGTCCAACTCCAAGAGTGAACCCTAATATCAACTGTGGACTCTGGGGGATGATGAATCAATGTAGGATCAGTGAGTTTAACAAGCACAGCACTCTGAGGGCTGGGGATGTTGATGATAGGGGAAACTCTGCATGGGTGGAGGCAGAGGGTCTATGGGAACTCTGTGAACTTTCCACTGAATTTTGCTATGGACCTAAAACTGTTTTAAAAATAGTCTATTTAAAAGGGAAAAAAATTTTTTAAAGATTTTATGTCTTTCTGTATTCTCCAGATTCCCATAATGAGTATGTGTTCCTTGCAGATAAACAGAGATAAAATATGTTAAAATTCTGTCATTCTCCTTTCCTTACTATCAAAGAGGGAAAAAATCAAACTGATGCATTGGATCTCATCAAACCTCATGCTTCCAAGTCTTGAGTTGTTTGAGGAGGAACACACTCCTGTTCCTTGGCCCTGATTGAGATTATTCTGTAGTAAAAATACAGAAAAAGATTTCAACCCTCCCAGTCGGCATCTTCCATGGGTCTGTATTCCTGGTCCTCCCACATGGTAAACCCAAAGGACAATGAGAAGTGTGACTTTGTGGTGTTCTTATGCATAATGCAAAATGCATTGATTTGAAAGGAACTGATTCTCTAAGAGTCAGTAACAGAGAATTAATATTTCATGGCTTTTCTGTTCATGAATAGGGACAACTCCAACCAGACTTCTTAGTTGTAAAAAGGAAAGTAAGGGCTGCTGAAGTCTAGAGAATCTCATCTGAAATTGTTGAGCTCCAAGTGGGACCTCATTTCACATATGCAGGTCATCACAGATTCTAAGATACCAAGATGTATTTAGTCAGGGAGCATGTTTCCAGGGCAATCTTATATTCCTATGTCTCTCTTTCTTCCCCCACCAGTGTGTTAAGCCCATATTGAGCCTCTGCTAGCATTGCCCATCTGCAAAGCAGCTGGAGCCTCAGCTGCTTTATGGGCCACTAGTAATCCCAAAAGTTAGGCCAAAACCCAGGGTATAATGTTCACAGTATTTATCTCACGCTTTCCCGCCATTTTTCAATTCAGAGATGTTCACAAAGATTTCACAAGGAAAGTTGCTGTTACATGCAGTGTAACATTTGCAGCAGCAAATCACTGGAAGTCAACACGAAGGGATTTTTAAAGCAAATCATGGTGGCTGCACATGCTCTGAAACCATTAAAATCACTCTCTGGAAGAATATTTCATTCAGGAGGAAGTGTATGATCAGATTATAAAGGGGAAAGGCAGGGTCTCCAGATAAGCTATACAGTATGATCCTGCCTTGGGGTGTTTAAGAGATGAGACAGGTGCTCCCAGAGAGTTGATTAACACAGTTCCACCAAAGAACTATGGCTGGGTCTTTCCATATGACCTGACCACTGTTCCTCCAGTTGTCCAGGGCACAGTCTCCAGCTGGGCTCACAAGTGTTGTTGACCAATGAAGCAGACACTGGCCACACTCAGGTAATTTGGATGGAGACTAGCAGTGTCTCAGGGAACAGATGGACAGCACTCGTGCCAGCTGATCAGTATGCCAAAAAACCACCGGCTGATCTCCGTGGGCGTTTCTAGCACAATGGCAAGGAGAGAACATCGACTTGGTTCCTTGGTACTCATAATACAAATACTTACTCATGTGGGACATGATGGCCAGGGGGCCCTGACACAGCTCCCTTCAGGCTCCCCACGGCCAACAACAGATGGTATTCGCTCAGACAGAGGCTGGGGCAGCAGCTCAGGGCTTGCTCCCCCTGAGGGCCAGCCTCACCCACGTCTCTCTTGGCAAGGACTCTATGTCCCCACAAGGCCTTCCCCCAGGCTGGGGATTCCTCATCTCCTGTGAGAGATTTGGAACCTGGCACCTCTTCCCTTTTAGCTGTTTATTCCCAATTTTATGCACTGAACTCATCAGGATGAGAACTTCTAAAATATTCACATCTAAGAGCTAGACATTCAAGGCTTTTAATTCTGAAAATAGTTCGACAAAGCAATTGTCAAACTTCAAAGAAATGGTGGAGTAGAGGGAGGAGTGAAGGATGACCCCCAGGGTAGTAGAGTACAAGGGAATGCAGTGGGGGAAGTTACCTAGATTAATATCTCAAATTTATATCCTATCATATAAATATATGCATGGAATAAATATTAGAGATTAATAATACACCCTTAACAATCATTACAATTGTTATCTCCAAGTAAAAGGCTGAAAATTTTTCAAATTTTCTGTAATGAACATATAAGAGAAATGTATTTATACATTTAAGAGAAATGTATTTTATGTTAGTGTTAGCTTCCAATGGCAGCTTGTAATGTGAAAAAA